CCATGCATAACATCAGTAATATTGAGGGATTCTTCTCAAAAACAAAATACACCGCTCTTAACAACAATGAAACTTTTATTAGTCTTGAGGTTCTATCTCTCTATACAAGCATTCTAGCAGATGAAGCTTTAGCGATTATCCTAAAACGACCAACAGAACACGACAATTTACAGAGGGAATTCCATTATCGATTGAAACTTTATGCCATTTTATGACATATTTGTTAACATATTTCGTTTTTTAAAGACAGTGTTGTGGACAAGTGCGCAATGTCGCAATGGGCCACAATAGTCAACATATTTCTCCAGCCATTTGAAAATATCACCTTAATTCGACGAATAGAAAAGTCACTTAATGGAAAGGATACACTGATGACATTTCCACTGTTGTACAAGAAGATGACATAGAACATTTATTATTCTATTTCAATTCCGTTAGATAAGGAACTATATGTGAGAAAGAACTAAACATAAGCATCAATTTTCAAACACAAGGATAAAAAGAGAAGTTGTCAACTCTTTATCCTTTGACGTATTTCACAAACCAACACATACATTTCGACATATCCATCTTTCCTCACATCACCCAACCCATAAAAAAGCCATTATAAACAGAGGGGATATAACTACAACGTCAAAAAAAAAAAAACGAACAAGTATTATAGTCATTTTGTTTCATAAATCCATTGAAAAGTAAGTCAAGACTAGGAAGAACAAACCAGAAGACGATCATAATCCTCACTGCGTTGCATGTATATCGTATGTAAAAGAAACCTCATAACAAAGTTATGTAATATTACGACAATTTACCATCAAAATATCTTACAGATACCTCAAATACAGGTATCCCCTAAAGACTCCCTTTGACTTTTATCAACCAACATGTGGGAAATTATAGATAAGTAAAGTTGCGAGAAGTGTAATTACTCAAATATAAAACTTTCATCTAGAATGCACCATCGCCGATCATTGCCTAAAACATGGAACCCGCCAACCACACACTACAAAACTTACAGTCTTGACAAATTAAGAGCATTTCGAAAAAATGAAAATAAGAAAGCCCTACAATTTATACTTTAACAGAGACGTTCCTGAATAGGGTCATATAATTTTCAGAAGTATAGAAATCAGTCCTATTTAAGTTTAAATAATAATACAGGTTGTAGGACACAATACAAGTTAAACATATATAGAAATATGTGTCACATCATAATCTTTGGTTCCTGATTTCTCTTTTAATCTCATGTAATTACAACAGTCATGTGAATCAACATCTACTTAATACGTTTCTTAAAAAATACTGGATAAATATGTATCAATGTAACAAAATATGTATTCTGGCTGGTATTATCATGATGACATTTTCTCTAAATGAAATCACGGAACAAGCGATGCCTTATCTTGTATATGTATATATATATTATGTAACATTTATTTTAAGCCTGACGACAACCGCAGGAGGACGGTCGAAACGTCGCTCTAATTAAAAAGTATTTCCTTTCAAAGGTGTAAGTAGTCTTACTCTTATAAAAGTGTAATTTTTTTATACCGTGAAAATTTGAAACTGGGAGTTGTTATATGACTGAGTGTGATAAATGTAATGTACAACTAATATAAGTGAAACAAGATATTTGCTAAAATTCGAATTTCTGAAAATAAAGTATTGTTCAAAAAAGAGAAACACCTTCGTATTCCATCCATGACAAGCAAAGTATGGCGTCTTGTAACAGGTGAGAATTCATGCAAAAGCCGTCCATGTGCCCCAAACAACACCACACAACATAATCATGAAGGATCTTTATCTGAAAATAAGGATAAGATAAGGTTATCAGTAATACCTCCCGTTCAACAATAGCATATCTGAAGCAGATGAAGAATAAAATGGGTAGTCATGCTATTCCATACGAAGATATATTGATCCAGTCGTTGGATTTTTGTGTAGTCGGACTGTTAAAGCGGACGATGGGAAACCGCCGACTTCATACACTTAGATGGATTATGAAATGCCAATCAAGGAGGAATTATATGCTTTGGACATGACTGCCTTACGACGGAGCCTTTTGCAATGGACACTACGCTGTAAGGCTATTATTAAGATGCACAGTCGTCTGATTGAGCGTGACCGGATGTAGCAATATCGTCTGTATCGACATGATGAGGCTCCAAAATCTTTTTAGTATGACCTACTCAACTTTTGTTGCAATATTTTGTAATAACTAATAATTTTAACAACAATCAATCTAGTATAAGTAAGGGAGACAAGAAAAGCAAAAACAGAATGATTTTTCAAACAAGAAAATGTAAATATATATAAGTGCAGGATAAATTCATGTTTCGTTACAATGGCTATTGTTGTTATCTTTTAAAAGGTTTGAAAATTGGGTATACTAATTTATTTATTTTTAATCACTTTGTTTCATAAATATTTAATATTTTTTATTTATGAAATAACTGTCGCACAGAATCCTGATTGCTTAAATCCATAATTTTTTTGTTGAAAAAGCAACAAAAGATTATTATATTCTGATGAACTTCTCCAACGAGTATTTTCAGATATTAAATGTGGATAGAAAAAAAAAACTATAATATAAAGTTATCAATCATTTTTCATTATATCGTTTTATTTTGTTCATTATACCAATATATCTTATTTATTAATAGTTCTTATGAGCTCAAGTCAATTTAATTTATCATCAATTATAATACCCGAAACCTTTGCTGATGAACACCTTTCAAGCAATACTCCATTTACATATATATGTTTACTTCCTTACTATTAATATTTTTATTTTCATTATGAAAAAGTATAAATTTAATCTTTTCCATATTTACAACCAAATCACTTTCATAAAGCCAATAATTTAGCCTATCTAATGACAAATTAACCATTTCAACTAAAGACTGGGCTAAAACTGTAGTAACATCTGCAAATAAAATCTGCTTTATGTCAAGTAACAAGTCTGGCATGTCATTAACGTATAATAAAAACAGCATTGTCCAAGAACAGAGCCCTGAGGAACACCTCTTGTATTTATTAATTTATTAGAATATTTGCCGTTAGTATTAACTATTGAAATTTTATTTTTTAGTAACCAATTAAGAACTATTTTTTAATTCAATTAATTCAACATTATTCGCATACTAAATAATACAAGATGCTGTATTATCATCCCTTGAAAATACGGTGTAATGCTCCATAAGTTATAATGTTTTAGAACTTTTTGCACGCGATTATAGTGGTGAAATTCTTTTTTCTGTGTTGTTTCTTTGTGTTTAAAAGCTGGGGAATAATGGAACCATAAACTCGAGCATAAATAGATAAAATAAATTTACTCTTAGATTTGTATTTCTCTTTACATCTACAAAAAAACAAAAACATTATATTGTTCTACATGGAGATCAATGTTCTAAGTTGACAGAGTTGCAGTCATGAACAAAGCAAACCTTCAAAAAACATTAAAAATCTTTCATTAACCAAAATATTCTCTCATCATGGTAACAGGTTACGATGACAACGTGAAAAATGTCCATACAATAAGACTTTTTCAATCTGTTGGCAGACCTTTAACTCAACTGCAAATTTCTCGCTCGAAACTGTAATTAATTCTCATAACCAAAAATTAATGGTGAAACATATACCTTTGCAATTTAACCATCTTTTATCTAAGCCTTCACAAACATTCAGTTATTCGATTGTACCATAATATAGGGATGGAAGCAAATATATGGTCAGATTGATAGTGTACAATAGGCTTTTACTTTAATATAGTTATGGAAGCAAATATATGGTCAGATTGATAGTGTACAATAGGCTTTTACTTTAATATAGTTATGGAAGCAAATATATGGTCAGACTGATAGTGTACAATAGGCTTTCCATTAAATATTAACTTCTATTTTGTTTATACATTTGGATTTTTATTCGTAAATGTATAAACTAGAGATAATTATTAAGATAACCTATTCTGTTAAGGAGTAAGTATTGAGTTTCTATGTTTGTTTGTTGGGAATATCTGCTGTATACACCGCGGGGAATCGAACCCTGAATTTTAGCATTGTGAGTAGGGAAACTTACCGCTGACTCACCAGGGGACAAGTAATTAGACATTGTTTTCACAGCGTTTCGGTTTACTCCTTTCAATCACAGTGGAAAGAAAAACAAATGTTTAGTACCTCTTCCCTGATTAGATTTAAATCTTATCAGCGGACAACTTATACACCGAAGTATAAAATTCCAAGTGAAACCTAGTCTTTCTAATTATTTCATGAAATGTATACTAACAAAATATCTAAGGAAACACTGCAATGATGTCTTATACGGTAGAAAAATAAAAAAGAGCTTTGGTGGTTTGGTTGCTATATTAATCAGTGTTAAGAATTAGATCTTGAAAAAGCATTCATCTCTTTCATGTTTATGATAATTTAAACAAACAACAACTCTACATCAACAACTCCTTTTTGTTTTGTACTTTCAACAAACTCAACTGACTACTCACCTCAGTTTTGTATTTCTATTATGCTTGTTTGTTTGTTTGTTTGTAATTAAGCACAAAGCTACACAATGGGCTATCTGTGCTCTGCCCACCACTAGTATCGATACCCGAATTCTAGCGTTGTAAGTCTGCAGATATGCCACTGTGCCACTGGGGGGCTCTATTAAGCTAAATCAACTATTTACCATAGTTTTGTATTTATAACAATCTAAATAAAATATTTACAAATTCAACCGAGTATTTACCTCAGTTTTATAATTCTATTAAGCAAAATAAAGTATAAAATTTTGTTCTTTACTTTGAATGACCTAAACCAAGTAATTTAGATTCATTATAGTTTTGATTTTTTCTTTTGAAATTAACTTATATTTTATGTTTATAAATATTAAATGTTAATTTTTGAATCTGATGATAATTTGGAAACACTAATGAAATGATGTAAAAAAAAAAGATATATTATAAAAATGAGCTGGAACAATTCTACAAATACATATTTTTTTCTTTCCAGATCCAGATTCTAAGTACGTATTCTTTTCTAGCGGTGAACTCCACATTCGAAACGTTCAAAATTCGGACTCTGACAAAAATTACAAGTGTCACGTGACAGACCGTCTAACAGATCGCAGCATTAGCAGCGCCACCTCGGGAAGATTGATTGTAAGAGGTACAGGCGATGTATAAATATACATAGTACGTTTAGGTTTAAGCTGTCTCCCTTGTATTTGGTACAATGATTAATGAGTAGTGTATGAGTAGACAACCATTCCCCTGGCGCTGCAATGCTCAATTGTTCAGCTTGTTTTCAATCAACGCGCTAACCTGCATTTATGTGTGTGCATTGAACTAACTTAAAAGTGCTGTTCTCTTTCTTACAGAAATCAATAATCCAATAAATATGTAAACGTACTTTCCAACTAAATTTGCTCAAAGCCATTTAATTTGCATCAGTAACGAAACTTGAAATTAATGACTTTTTTGGTACACATTATAGTAGACTTTAGGTGTTGAAGTTTGTGTAAAGTATGTTTAATTTATGTTGGCAACAAACACTTCTTCATATCGTTTAACAGCAGCACACCAAAGAAACACGAATATAAAAATACTTCAAAATTCATATTTACAAATAATATACAGTATACACACTCATATAATATTATAGCAATGCTGGACTTATAATACACACATATATATATACATACAACAAGTGAACATTTCATACGACATATCAATTGAAAACAGCACAAAGTCATATGTTCAGTATTTTATGGAATAAATATGTTTTTTAACTTATATTTTATCATAAGTGTGTGTGTGTGTGTGCATTTAAACATATAGCATCCTGCTCTTGAAATGTCTGATTCAAATCAATTACAAGTTATAAGGTGTATGGACCAGCCAATTACAAGTTATAAGATACATGGACCAACCAGTTACAAGGTATTAGGTACATGGGCCAACCAATTACAAGTTAAAAATTCCATGGATCAACAAATAATAGGTTATTAAGGTACCTATTATCAGGAGCATCTCAAAACCGAATGTCTAAAATAGTTAACAGAAAACACACGCAATGATTAAACGAAGTCTATAACAGAGCAACAACACCTTTTCCATCAGTTATGTTGGCAGTTGCATTTTCTTGAAATAAAATGCCTATAAAATATAATTACAATTGGTTTTAATCTTACTCTGCAACAGTTATTTTGGTTATAAATATAATTTCAGCTGTATTATCCATATTGTTTTGAGCATAAGCCATCAGCCTTGTGATAATCAATATACAACAATGCTAAATTATTTATTACTTTCTGTTAGAAAAATTTAAAAGGGGTTTGCTTTATTATACCAGTATATAAAATATTTATGACATGCTAACTTGCAGTATGATAATAGAAAAGGAAAATAAAACGTAATAAGTTTTATACAATGCTTGGCAATACGTGACCAAACGAGTACGTGCATGGTGTCACGTGCCTTGTACTTAAATTGGCTGGATATTCGTATTTTCAGGAGGCTATAAAATCCGTTTGTCGTTTTCTGAATATTAACATTATATAGGATACTCTTTGTTTTTCTTATATATCAGTATTGCTCCCTTAACCCTTTCGTGTGTTTTAAAAATGAGTATTTTTATATTTACATTTTTAAATTGAAAAAATAATCATTAAATAAAGTCAAAATTTTAATAAATTAAAATATTTATCTATAATCAAGAATCGTAAAATTCGTAGTTTGTATTCCATGTTCACATTTTTAAACTTTTCTTTTAAATTGTCTTTCTACAACATTTAAAATTTCTATATTTATGAAACGTTATATTAGAATGATAGAAAATCTATTCATTAATATACATATATATATAAGTAAGAGCTGAAATACCCGTCAACTGACGGGGAATGTTTAAACTTAATTAACACAATGTAAGTTTAACAGCAATCATATATTTCAAAATAATAACTTGAACATATACTTTGTCTCGAAATTTTAAAATTATAACAAAGTTTCTTCATAAACAAAATTTGCAACTTGCTTTCCATCTACCAACAAATAAAGATTTTGAGATGATCCCACCTTTGAACACCCTAAATCTCAGTTTTTTTATGGTTGTTTGAGAAACAAAATAGCAACTTTCATACTTTGACCTTCAATCCTTTTAGAATGTTCAAAATTGTGCAAAGCGTCAACCTGCCAACACTGTTCGAGATTGGCTGTGAGTAATTAACGAACAGGCTTTACAAAATAGAAATAGGATAAAGCTTAATTTTTGCTCTCTTAGGACATTTCCCAATGTTCATAGTGTTTACATACAAACTTTGGTTGAGATTGGCCCAATTGGCTCGGAGTAGTTAGGGTGCAAACAAACACACATTTCATCTTTATATATATATATATATCCACTTCCCATTGCAGGAACTTGTATTTGCACTTGCTCTTACATATAATCTGTAGCTACACAGAGCTTCTAGAGAATGATAAACAACAGTCTAGCTGGTGCATGAACAGGAGTTTTGCTGAATATACATATGTAAAAACGTTACTATCAATAACGTTTCCCAACTATTTATGATATTTTCTGGAAGCCAGCTGGAAGTTCAAATAAAACAGAAATTACTGACTTAGTCAATAAATTTGATTTTTTTGAATAAAAATATTTTACGCAAAATATTTCAGATGCCTTTTCCACTTTTTTATTCTTCTCTTAGCAATCTATCTAAATATACAATGTTATGTAGTTGATATCATTTTAATTATCTCAACTTCTTGATTTTACGTTTAAAATAATTTATATTTTGCTAACAGTTAAACACGAACTCTAAATATCTACTTTTTTGCCGTGAACTTAGCAGGATTGTTTCATCCATTAAAGTAAAGTGTTATCACTGTATTAGCAAACAGAATATCGCTACAAGTTTCTTTTATGAAACTAAGTTTTCATAGTTTAACTGTATGTATGCGTTTTTTTTATAAAGTGTTAAAAGTTTTATATATTTCTTTATTAACCACACTCTTAAACACGGGATTTACGTACCTGTTGAAATTATTAATTTAAAATATTTTCTAGTCTTGAAAAAGTTATTGCAGTTTTAGAAATCGAAAATTCTATTGAAATTTTGGTATTCTTTTGTTCACGGACACTTTTCACGTCACTAATGATAAACTGCAAAAGGATTATAGTTTTCTGAGATGTTTGGTTCAAATAAAATTATGATACCTTTAGTATAAATAACTCCTAAAATTCTATGTAGAAACTAATAAAAACCTACTTAACAATCATTCAGTTTTTATATAATTGCATAGTCTATTATCGACACATGGTATGATTCGGAAATCTTCATGTTACTATTTTAATATGCAAAACTCATACTATTTCATATATAACATTCTGATTTATTACCCACTTAGAAGCATTTTAACTTGCTGACTAATCTGAATGAAGCACAACACGATCATTACGAGCAGAAATTATTTTATAAAGGAAGAAGAAAGGGTATTTATTCAATATTATAAGACTAGCGCAACCTTATTCAATAATATGCTCTTATCACTTATCAATTCAAATGTCAATAAGATTTGAGACCTTAAAAAGTATGATGCAATAATAAGTTTAACCACGAGGAAAATATTTTTCTTTTATTAGATAGGTTCTCTTATGAATAAATGCCAATATAATTATATAAGACAACTTTCCAGAAAATGGGTGATACGGAAGAATGTACATTGAAAGAATAGAATTAAAATATGCCACCTAATATAACATAAAAGATAAAATTTTGTACTTTGATTCTATGTATCTTGTTACAGTGCTTGAGCACGAGGACTGAAGTAAATGGACTATCCGATACGCTTAAAAAGGTAATGTAATGTTAAACTAGCAGTTAGTCATTCAACCTGAAAATTTTGAAATGAAGTTTAAATACGTAATTAAACAGAAATCCGGAAAACCTAAGCAAAAACAGGGCGTTAGCTGAAATATCGTAAAATTTAGAAAATAACAGAAAACTGAATTTTGGTTTTAAATGATAGAAAATCTGGGATGTGAGGAAAGAAAATGTTACGTTGGCTGAAATGTGGTCGAATCTGAAACCTTAATAGTAGAATTCAATGGTCTTCACATCTGGAACGTAAAAAGCATGGAAAACGTAATTTTAGTATCAATTTTGCAAAACTTGAAAGTGTTTGAACAGTTATCCGAAATGTCGTGAAAGCTGAAACCTGTGCATGATAAGTTGAACATTGAAGAAACTCCGTCGAAACCGAAATCTAAACATAATGGCCTAAAATGGTTTGGTGGTTCGGGGGCTCGACTTGATCTGCGAAGCCCATCACCGAACAATTTCGCTCTTTCAGCCGTTGGTAGAGGTGCGTTATAAGTGGCAGTCAATCCTACTTTTCGTTGGTATACAGTAGCCCAGGAGTTGGGGGTGGGTGGTGTTGACTAGCTGCCGTCTCTCTAGTCTATCACTTCTAAATTAGAGAATACTACCGCAAATTATCCTCGAGTAACTTTGCTCGAAATTTATTAAACAAACCCACAAAAAATATACTATTAAGGGAAAAGCTCGTCGAAATGTTTTGAAATTGTAATTTGGACATTGACGATGGAGAAATCAAATAAAAACGCCGTGAAACTTTAACTCTGATAATGGAACTTATTTAGTTAAAAGAACAATACATGTCAGTTAGTCTGTGCGTGTATGCGTGCTAGCTCACATGGAAACGCAATATACCTATTGGATAATTGTTCAGTGGTAATTTTACATTCATACGAATACAATGTTCTATACAAGTGCAAAACTACGACGTTTATAACATTAATTTTAAAAACAGTTATTTCAGTAACATAAACAAACACGCAAGAAAACACATTAGGATAATTCTTTATCTTCCCGGCACATTAAAATCAACAGTTAGACCTAAAGTATAATTACGCTTCGTACACAAAGAACGAGTTTACCCATTAGGGGAATATAATATTACACCATTTCTGATATTAATTGTCGTGGACCCACCTCTTGTTAATACTTTAGGGGAGAGTAAAAAAGGGTTGATACCATTATGGAAGGGGGAAGAAGTGAAGTAGCGACAACCGCAGGTAGTTGATTTGTACACTTTTAACTACCATAATTTTATAACATCGCTTTATCAAGAGCTCGATCAAGAAAC